AGCGAGGCAAAGCTGTTAACTTGCATTAGAATTTCACACCACATGTAATATTGGGAATGTTAGAAATTCATTAATACACCACCTCCTGTTATTCTGCCTGGCTTATAAGTACATTCTACAGGTAGAAAATTTCTCACTGTAGATGTACTTACTTCCATCTGAGCCATAAAATTAAGATAACAAAAGGTACAACACAGTAAGAAAAAGATCTAGAACTGCAGAAATAAAGGCTTGGTTTTAATTCTTCCTCTATTGACAGATTCAGGTGGCAGGAAAGGAAAAGCTTAGTACTTAACTAAAATAACATAAATTAAACTAACATAACATTAACTAAACTAATATAAAATGGCCAGAGAGAAGATGCAGAGCAAGCTCAGACAGCAGCACAGAAGAGCAATGGAAAAGGCTCAAGAATTTTCAGCTGAAAGGAGTTTCAGTGAGGTTTTTACCAACAGTAAATACTCAAAAAATTTAGGGTCTAACCTTGCTCATCTCAGTCACACAAATAATTGCCCTCAGATGCAGTGACACATTTTGCATGAGTTTGTTTGCATGACAAGAAGAAGTACCAATAATAATGCTTTAGAAATTGAAAACACAGCTTATGCTGTCTTTGTAGTGTAGCCATCTGTATACTGTGAGTGATTTATAGTTTGGGTTTTTTCCAATTTACATAACAAACAACAGGAAATTTAAAAAGATAAAAATTAGACCTAAATATGAGCCCAGTTCACATGACACTACACCACTTCACTTCATACAATTTAAAACTTTTAGACCCCCATCCCCTGGAGAAAGGGTTCATGCCTTACAACAACAGTATAAAAAGCATCAGTGTGAAAGTCTGGAGCCCTAAAGACAGAGAAAAGTTCATGTATGTCAGCGTGGGAAGGATCCTCCAAGTGGAAGCGAGGATCTCTGTACAGGAGAGCTGACGTCAGTGGAGGTGGGAGGGAAATGGTGATGGGAAGTTTGTAGGAGAAATGATTGAGGATAGTTTCACTGGGAACAGGGAGGATTCAAGAGAGGGTGGATGGCCTCGGTGGAAGCATGGACAGAAAGTGTGGGAGTATCAGAGGGAGGGAGTGCTGGTGTGTTCCAAGGGAAAGGAATTACCAGACAGGGAGGAAAAGAGCAGACAGCTTAATGGACTAAATAATGTGCTGTTAACTGCTGAAATGAGATCCACTTCAGCCCTGCAGGTGCCATATAGCATACAGCCTATGCAGAATTATGCAACATGGGTTTGCAGTGACTGCAAAATTCACAGGCAATCTCAGGGTTTGAATGCAGAAAACTTACTGGCTGTAGGAGCATGGATTTAAACTGGCTGCCCCACATCAGCTGATAAATCAAGAGACTATTTCACATTTGGTCCTTCTGACTTGGGAGTAATTTTAATTTCAAACAAAGGAAGTTTGGATTTAGTCTCTGATCCCCCAGAAACCAAATGCACATATTTCTGTATTAAATGTACCCGACAAGGAGAGTTACTCAAGGAAAGAGGAAGGAAAACTTACATACGTAAAAGAATGACAGAGCAAAATCAAGGTGCTACAGGGTATATTAATGTGCTGGAGAAGAGCCACACACACACAGGATGCTGGGATAGCATATGATTATGAATATCCAAGCCAATTTTAAATAAACGCCCATGAAGTCCTTATGCCTTTCAGCATTTACTCCACTTATGTTATAGTTTAAACAGTTATCATTCTAATGGTGTTTAAGCAGGTTTCTATAAATCCAAGTACCTTTATCACAAATTCAACTACAAATGTATCTGAAAATCATAACTAATATATATGAAAAGGTCAGGCTGTCACAATTTTGAGTCCACTTTCTTGAGATTTTTAGAGTTAAAACTAAAATCAGGGAAACTCGTCTTTGCAGCAGTACTGGTTAAGTGTAATTTGATATTCTTTATGTAGCACTGGGTAATCAAACCCCAGTCCTTGCATCCAAGTCCTGCTCATCTTTCACTGGTACAGGATTTAATCTGTGCTGGCAATGCCTCGAAAATTAAGGGAAGAGTTTCCATGGCTGGTTCATTGTTTAAAGATGGCATTTATTCTAAGGCACCCATCATTTTCAAATAAAAGCCACATATGAAAATACTAATTAAGGAGGGAGATCCAGGTGCCATGACCTGAAAGAGGTCTTCCATTTCTCACATACTGTCACCATATTCATACACAAGAGAAAGAGGTACTACAGCATTTACCTCCGCACACACACACTTTCAGGGTTATTCTGAAAATTTGGGTGGATTAACTTAGAGTTCCCCATACTAGAAAAGAACTTTTTTAGCTGCAGTTTATAAATTGATGCAAATCACAAAATACTGTATGCTTACACCACCCATCCAGAAAACGATCCTCTGCTATTTGACCAGGAGAAAGATGTAACAAGACAAAACCAGAGTAAGTCAGGGGTTAATTAGCAATAGATACATGCCATTTTACAACTAACATGGGACATTTTTTGTCTATATTACATTTTCTGACTTGAAAAATGTGCACTATAGCTAGCAAACTGATTCAGTAAATATTATTGCACTATCTATTACACATGTCTTAATAAATTTAACACTAATGCCAGACAAAGTGAAAACACTGAAATTTACACACAGGCCAAGTTTTGTTCATAGTTCTAGCACAGCATTCTGTTGGCTTTAATCTGAGAATATATGACTTAAAGCACCCTGAAACCAAGTAAAAATGTCATTCAGGCAGACTACTGGCGATGCACACAAATTCTGGGTGACACCACCAGTCCCCAAAGCACACCAGGTTTGTAGCATTTCATGTTTGTGTGAAGGAATCCCTGGGGCCATAAAGAGTGTACTACACACTCTGAGAAATGGCAATGGTTCTTAGTAGAACCCTAACTCTTACAGTTCTTCCCCAAATCAAAAATCCTACAAAACAGCACAACATCCTGCCCAATGCTCCTTTTGCCTTCAGGAGTTTCAGCCTCCTGCACACTGTTTTCAATTTTCTCACACTTTCTTTCTTTCCAAACAACTTCACTGTGCTGTGAAAACTACTCTGCAGTGATCCCTTGCCCCAGCACAGTCTCTGAGACAGCACAGTTATCTAGCGCTCTAAGAACTGCAAATCTGATCGCGCTACATACGCTAATGATAAAAGCAGAGACAGAAATACCACGCTGCCTGACAGCTCTAAGGACTATTACAGAATTTTGCACATGAAAATAATGTAGATGTGATGTGTCCAACAGATTTTGTATTCAACTGATCACAAATACAACTCCATTTTCACTTCTCAAAACCCATCTTTCACAGAACTGTGCTAAAGAGTGATGACAAGGGCAGAAAATGTGACTGAGTGATAAAAATCTGAGTGACTGTCAGTGAGATGACAGCATGCATACAAACCAACAGCAACCTATAGTGTCTGGCTGAATTATCCAAACCTAGTAAAAAGAATTTGTACAAAGTTCTTGAAGGCAAAGAACAAAATTTAACAAAATTAAGACTGCTTCCCACACACGCTTCTGGAAACAGGTTTGAGTGATTTTTCCCCTTAAACAATCATACAGAAGCCGAATTCACAGAACAAAAAGTTTAAAAGACTATTTTTTATTTAGGTTTTGTAACATGCAATTATAATCACTATTAAAAATTCAGCTAGCAAAGCAATTGTCAGGAATTTGATGACAACTTAAGCCTCCTCAGTGTGGTTGCTGTGTTAAACGTGCTGTGAGCACGGCTATCGCGTGTGAACAGGGCCGTAAAGTTCATTTCCTGTGCAGTGTTGTTAACACAAAAATTTAGTTTAGTGTACCACCATTCAGCTTCATGTTCTGTATAAAGTATTGTTAATTCCCCCCCAGCTCACCACTCCCAAAGTGTCTGCTAATTTTCTAGACTTTTTTAAACTATGAAATTTACTGAACTGTGAACAAAGATTACTAAATCTGAATGAAAACAATCAAAGAAAAGCACCCACATAACTGAAGTAAATTGTTCCTGGTCAATACTCTGAAAGTTGTCTTAATATGCAAGTAAAAAGCCTAAGAAAACAACAAATCATTAGAGTTTCTGTTAGTCTGCAAAACTCTTGACATTCAGCTACATCTCACTTGCATATCAAGCCTGTATCTTATATTTACGGCGTGTGTATCTCAGTTCTTATCACAGCAACGAGAACACATCAGCCATGTTATATAATATCCCCAGGACTGCTACAATGTGATTTTTCTTACATTGGCAACTACCATTTTTACAAATAAGAGCAGTTTCCAAAAAAAAAGCAAAAACATAAATCCTATAAGATTAGGAGCTAAATACAACTCATAAACAAACAGCCCAGCGATAAAAAGCAAACAGACAAGCGAGCACGCCACACCACCGTCTCACTTCCAGGAAAATAATCACAAATCACGATTTGTTTTCAGTATGCGTGTGTCATCTCCAAATAGTCTTGTGTCGCACCTTTACTCAAAAGTATGGGAGCAAACACATGGGAAAAAACCGCAGAAAAACACCCTATTTGTAGCAATAGACAAAGTCAACAAGTTGTTAATGTAAATCAGTAGCCAGAGCAAAACACGCTGCCACTTTCCCTTCAACTTTCCGAATGGAGGAGGCATGCAAAGCGCTCAGCCCGGCTCGCAGATGGCTTGGGAGCGCGATCTGTCGCTGCTTCCAGAGGGGACGAGCACAAAGAGCCGGGGGCACCCACACGGGGCAGAGCATCCCCCTGCGCCCCCCAGCTTCACAACAAGACCCGTGCCCCCGGCTCCAACGAGCGATGAGGACAATTAACATCGCTCTCCTTCCCAGAATTAGGAAAACTCATTTTGTGGAATGAAGAAAGAGGCTCGGGTACCTCTACAAAGCCGCCAAGACACTGATTAGTTTATAAACGAAAGTAAAGCCCGAGCCAGGAAAAGCTCCCGCACAAGGGCAGGGAGACTCTACAGCCAGCTCCTGTTCTGAGAGAAACAGCGCTCGTGTTTAGCACCCTCTTTACCTTAACATTGGGTCTGCCGGTCTGGGCCTCTGCCTCCATGCTCTGGCTGTTCTCCCTCTTGTCTTTCTTAGAGGAATTAGTCCTCGCCTCATAAGTGGATGTGTTGTAGCATTTAATGAATAATCCTGGGACGGGGTTGCCTTGCTGCTGTTGAGACATGGTTGTGTTGGTCTGGTGAGGGAAATTGTACTCCTCAGACTCATTGCTACTGTGACAGATCACTCTGCTGTCAGAGAGGTTGGTGCTTGGAACACAGCCCATGCTTTGTGGCCACCTGGGGAATACTTCTAAATTGTATATATATACGTGTACATATATATGTAAATATATATCTTTCCTTCCCGTTGATATTTTCCCCCTGCTTAATTTTTTTTGTTAACAGGTTGAATCTCTCTCCTGCGTCTCCGCTACATTCTGAAGCATTGCCATCGGTCCCTTCTACACCACCAGAAACGTGTCTGTTCTCCTCGTCCTCCAGGAAACAGGTCCTTTTAGCTCAATCTCAGCAGTGGGCTGGGGAGCTGGAGGGGAGGGAAGGGGGGAAATCAAGAACCGGTCGACTTCGTATTTTCACAGATTATTATTAATTTGTCTAAGCCATCTGAGAATCTTGGTAAGGTTTTCTTTTCTTCTTGTAAAAGAAAAAAAAAAAAAAAAAAAAAAAAAAAAACCAAGAGGGTGGAAAAAAGCAAAAGCAAAAAAAAAAACCAAAAAAATAGCCCAAGCCCCAAACCACACGCTCCCCGGCTCCGGCTCGGCGCT